CGAATGTATCATTGGATGCCTGCTGTCAGTCGTGACGTCATGACGAAGTTAGCTGAACGCTATGCACATTGGGAATGCGTACGTCACAGGTCAACAGAAATGGCGTTCAATATATCCGCCGCTCGTCGCTTCGAATTTTTGTAACAGGTTATATTAGTTTAATACATAGTATTGTGATACATAGTAAGATCCAGGATAGCGCAGAAAGGTTCAGGTTGAGAATAAACTCAGTTTGGGAGTTCTAGTCTCTGAAAACGCACCAGCAAACTGCCCTGAGTGATTTACTCAGGGGTTCCTCCACACAAAAGGATATGCTCGCGTTGTAACCCTATCCTGTGTTTGGGTTACATTATTGTATCTAAGTTGCCGCAGGCCTGCCTGTACAGCCTGCAGCAACTGTACGCGGGCTATAGTACTAGAGCTAACTGAAGTAAAGATTCTATGAACTTGTCAAATGAAATGTTGGGTGATGCCTGAGAGCTTCATTTTCATTCGTGTTAATGTCAAATTGGGAATATAAAAAACAATGTATATTGTTATCCATACATACTTCATAGTCTGCAAGTATGAAGTACTTTTCGTATCTCATCTGATGGTTTCTTTGAGAAAAAGTAATACTAATAGTAATATTAATAGGACATTGTGATTGTGTGATATAGTTTGCATTTGTACTGCTACTAGTACTAATTGTTTTTGAACTATAAGTATAAGGTTTGTTTTTCCATAATTTAGGCAAAATCATACGGGAAGATTACATGAATATAAGTAAACGTGGAAGCTGGAAACAAGTAAATGTGTAATTGACAATAAGCATAACTGCTTGTTAGGTTGGGATGCTGTGAATGACTAACATATGAATTCCTATAAATTCTGATGTAATTACAAAAAAGTAACAATATTACATTCTAGTTGCTTTCACGGATCAAACCAGCCAAAGCCTCTTCTTCTCAAGAAAAGGAAAGCAAGAAAGAGAAGAAACTTCCGCAGTTTGAAGACTTTATCAAACAAAGAGACTATACTGGTGCAATAACAATTCTAGAGGTGAGATGATAGCATGAATTATATCCCATTACAAAATGCTACTTACTAGTTGATGTTTGCCAAACAATTAGGACAAAGCATTAAAACAATTTCAAATGAATTGGGTCCATAATTCGTCAGCAATGTAAAACTGTTACAAAAATAACATAACCCAGGACTACTTTGCATCTGGATTACAGATACCTCTGTGTTTCAGTTCAACAGGCATTCTGGCAAGAGTACAGATCTTGATGACATGTGGCTGGCATACTGTGCCTTCCACCTGGGCGACTACAAACGTGCTCTCGAGGTAGGCTACTTCCATCAGGCCTGTCAGGGTGAGACCTGTGGCATGCATATATATATATGTACACAGAAGTGTGTGCATTGTGAGACTGTGAGTGCACATGTGTTTATATGAGTTAGTGTATATGTCTGTATGTGTTGATATGCAATTGTCTTAATCTGTATTTATCAGTATACATGTGCTTACATTTGTAGGTGGAAATGTGTTGTTTGTATGTATCTGCATGCTATGGCCATTAATACATGTGTGCATTTACATGTTTTAACGTGTACAAAGGTGCACTATAGTATATATGTGTATATTATCATTGATATTATATATATATATACATATATATTGTGCACCTGGTTAAAGTCACCCATAACCCTGAACCATATTTAAAGTGGATTGTTTTTTAATCTCTTTATTAGACTGCATTCAAACAACTTAAAAATAACATGCTCAGCTGACATGTACATGTTGGTAGTGGTGTATGTATTATATAGGCAGGTATATTGTTTCTTTCCTGTGCACTGTATGTATATCACAGGAGTATGAGAGAATGCTGAAAAAGAATCCTACTGATCCCAACCTGTGTCTCAGCGCTTCCTGCTGCTACTTCTTCTTGGGAATGTACAAGGAGTCTGATGAAGCAGCAGGGAAAGGTAAGGCTTCCTTTTGTCCTTACAGTATATACAATCTTGTCAAAAATTTGTTAATTTCCTTACCTATACTCAAACCTGTGTCAGCAGATATCACTAGAAAATGAACATCTGCCTGTAAAAGAGACTTAGTATTCCTGACTTGTTTTTAAAATAACTCTGGAATTTGCTCGAGTGACCACTATATAGGTACATGTTTGACTATGATCGTGGTAGCTGTGCCGATGTATTAAGACATATTTGAAGCACTTGATATCACTTTTCTACAACTACCATTGCAGCGCCCGCCTCGCCTCTGAAGACGATCATCATGTTCCATCTGTCGCACAAGTTCAATGACGAGAAACGATTGATGACATTCCACTCGCAGCTGCAGGACCACATGGAGGATCAGCTGTCTCTTGCCTCGATCCACTACCTGAGAAGTCACTACCAGGAGGCCATCGACATATACAAGCGCATTCTCCTGGACAACAGGTGTGGTGTATGAGGTGTGGGGGGGGGGGTTACCTGGATGCAGGCAGTATCGTTCGTTGTTCACCGAAGATGTTGATGCATTCGCTTGTGATTAGCTGTTGCGTGTGTACAGTCATACTGTATATGAGTCTCGCGCGAGAACTGCAAAAGTCAATGCAAAAGTGCCCTTTTTAGACAGGTTTCTGTGCTATGGAGGTAGTTTCATGGTATAACTGCCACTCTATTGGAAATGTGAAAAGTGTTATTTATAGACGGGTGTTCGTTCTATAGAGATGCCCACTAACACGGATTTTCACCGTACCATTGCAATGTTTGTTTTGCGCACCTAGGTTTCGAAGAATAACGATGATAGTTAACGTCCACTCCGCTGGACTTCGTTTCCAAGCATTGTTCTCTAGAATTTCCTATCCCAACAATGATTGGCCAGACACTATGCACTGTAATAAATAGATAAAACACTGACTAAATACATACCAGCACCTGTTAACATTTGGCTGCTTAAAAAGCTCCTGCTGCTGGTATGCGGCTGCCACGCACGGGGCACGTACTATGAACATATATAATTAGATAACCTGACTCTCGAGATTAGATAATTGTTAACAGGCAGTCTGTTAGCAGTCCGTGGTTAGTCCGTGGCAGTCCATATATTTCGCAATGGACTGTAATCGGCTGCTAATTTGGTCCATGATAGTCTGTGGCTCTCCGTGCGTTTTTTTTCAATCTTTTACGTGTTTAGTCTGTGTTTTATCATTTTATTCCCGTTAATAGTGAGAACTGCCTCTTAATCATGCCAGGCAGATAGGTCAATTGATTGTCGTTTGTGCACGACATACTCTCGCGCATGATAATATTCACATGTGAAGTAAATCTCGTTGTGTTGGCGCGTGCTGCTGTAGGGAGTACCTGGCGTTGAACGTCTACGTGGCGATGTGCTACTACAAGCTCGACTACTACGACGTCTCGCAGGAGGTTCTCACCGTTTACCTGCAGTCGCACCCTGACAGCGTGATCGCTGTCAACCTGAAGGCTTGCAACCACTTCAAACTCTACAACGGCAAGGCGGCAGAGGTAACGCCTGCCGCCTCGCTGTCTTTACCCATACACTAAGCGCAGGTTCACGACAACTTTACAAAAACACTTGGGCTAGATGCATTTCAAAATTTGGAATTTTTTGGATTTAAGAAGTGTAGCGTAATGTGTGTATCGTATATTACTGTAACACCCTATAGCGGGCTCTGTGGCGGCACCCAGGAAGCAAACGCAGTAATATTTCTGCATTGAAATTTACGAATGTTACCGTGAGATGACGATCATGATGGTGATGTAAAAGTGATAATGGGAGCATCCGTCGATTACACTTTAGCTATAGACAATGGCTGAGGCCAAACAAAAAAATAGGTGTGTTTCCGGTCGACCGACCGTTCCTAGATTATTAGGGCCGACCCTAAACTTTTTTGTCAAAAAAAGGAAGAAAAAAAGAAGGTTTTATAATTTGAAATCTGACAGACAAAACTTGAGATTTTTTACTACAAACACGTTCTGGCCTTGCTTACTAACTTATCCCTACCTATACACCACTTTATAGCAAAAAAAAAAAAACTTGTTATCGATGCAATAGGAAACACACCAATTTTTTTTTTGGCCTAACCCCTACGGCTGGTGCATCTTCTCTGATTTGATGATCCTCTTATATGCACTTTGAACACATGTACATTGTAGGCAGAGTTGAAATCACTGCAGGACGTCTCCTCCTCGTCATCCTTCTCGTTCGGGCGCGATCTCATCAGGCATAATCTAGTAAGTGTGATCGCCACCAGAAATACTCGTGTGGTCAAGCCCAAAAAACACCGTGGTGATTAACTATCACAAGCCTCGAGTGTCTAGAAGTATATTTGAAAAGCTGTGAATGCACACTGACATACTGTGCAATCTATAACGTTGGCTGTATGATAATTACCAGCATCAACGTAGCTGCGGCACAGTAACTATCAATGCAGGTCTGCACGTAATCGTTTTAGAACAAGCATTTGCTAGTGATTTTTACGATGATTTTAAACTCGAGTAACCCCCAACAGGAGATAGAAATCTCACTTACTGGTATGTAGATCAGTGGATTTGTGGAGCGTTGAGAATCGCCCTACAGTTGCCGTCAACGTGCAGATTTGCATTCTTTCAGGTCGTGTTTCGTGGAGGTGAGGGCTCCTTGCAGGTGCTGCCACCTCTGATCGACATTATCCCAGAAGCTCGTCTCAATCTCGTCATATACTATCTTAAGCAAGGTATGTGACACTGATACTCTTAAATCAAACACAAACCTTGTGCACTGATGCCTACATATAGAGGAAAGTGGGCACTGGGGGTGTGCGGCTGGGGTGGCATGCAATTATAATGCTGTTTACTACTGGTTAGACAGCATCTGTTTGGCACAGTTTGTCCAAAGCTCTGTTTAAACTTGCAGAATCTTGTAGTAAAAGCAACGGTTTCTTTCTCACGAGGTTGCTACTTGGTAGATCTATGCACCCAGGTCTGTGCATCTTTCACATATTACTATCTGATGCTTGTTCATTGACAGTGATAAGCTGCTTTCCCCCACCGAACCGCCTACAGTGTGGTTCACGTGTTGTTCCATGTTCAGTTGATTACAGATGCAACCTAACCTGGGCGCTAATTATGAATAGCATAATCAAGGTTGCCTTATTTCTATCCTTCTCACAAATTTGATATTAATTTAATTAAAGTTATCAATTGTTTAAGTCTTTGTTCTTTGGCACGTGTACAGATGATGTACAAGAGGCCTACAACCTGATTAAGGAGCTTGAACCGGCAACACCCCAGGAGTACATTCTGAAAGGAGTCGTGAACGCTTCGCTCGGGCAGGAACAGGGATCGGTACGTAATTTCGGAGATGCATGGCGTGCGTGCCCTTGCGCGGACAAACAAGGTCGTATTAATTAGTAGACCTCTGCCGAAACACGACTGGGTAGAAATTTCGGGGCGTGAAATGTATTCGATGCTACCGAGTGTACGTCCTACTGGAGTATTACTTGCTTTCATTTCATACCATGTTCATTCCAGTCCTAGGCTTTGATGGAGGTACGCACTGTTGCCAGATAGTATCTGGTGAATGTAGCCACTAGTTGCATGTAAACCACTCATCTTTATAGTGCTATTGGATAGTTGTTGCGATTGCTAGTAATTTGGTATTTGGGGTTGATTTGACCTTAACGTTCTTAGTCGACCCTGATTATATATCAATATTTGCCATTGTACGTACTGGGGATTGGCTGTTACTGCATGCTCACATAAATAAGTTGAGTGTGTGAGCTCTCTACATTCTCCTGTATATACATATTTGCCTTTGCTCTATAATTGTACTTGCCAAGATTATTGATCGGTTGCTGGCCAGTTGTCGATGATTTGCTTTTATTAGTTTGCCGGCTTGTCTCGGCATTTTGTATTCTATATATATGTTTTCTCCTTGTTTTGCCTGTTGTCGCAGGATAACACAGCGGAAGGGGTAACCAGTATTTAGCCAAACGCCTAGCTTATAATCAGCTCTGCATGTTTTTAAATTGCTCAGATATGGTATCTGGTGGCATAGTGTCTTCTTTTTTATGCTGTTGAAGAGATGACCCCATACCTTTAGCTGCATTGCCGTGTTACTTTTAGCAACCATCCTCGGATAATGCGTGTCAGTAGATGTGGCTTTACTGTGTGGCCACTTGGCTTGGCTGGTAATAGATTTATATTTACATCCCTCCTCTTAGATTGTGCTGTGAACTTTATCATCTCTCTTGCTATTTACCAGTTATTCTTGATCTTTCCGATCACGTGTGTGCGTGCGCGTGTGTGCGTGCGTGTAGGCGTGGTAGTTATGTTTTTTTCTTGCATTAGTATGTCTTTAGAAGGAGTATAACTAACTCCTAATATAAGCTCATGAAGTGAAATTTGGACATGGTTTTATTTCTCTTCATGCATTAAATATATACTCTGCTGCAATATGAATAAGCATAGAAAAGACATGTTCACGTACTGGGTCAAAGTTAGCACTACGCACTTGTATTCTACGCATTTGTAAGTCTTTCCATTAACTTATGTATACTTTGGTCTATCCCAGCTTCCTATTGTGTCCTTTTAATTAATGTTACATGTAAATAAGAGAGGGCAGCAGTAGTCATGGCACACGTGTCCATGTATGTTTCCTGAGCATCTGAATCGAGCTTACCCAATTAGCTACAGTACTGCTAAGGTTGCGTTACCGAACAGCAACGGTGCCAGTGTAGATGGCCTTACTGTGTGTGCTTAGTCTTCATTCTCGCTATTATTCACTTGACTTAACTCTTTGCAGAGAGAGCATCTGAAGATCGCTCAACAGTATTTCCAGCTAGTTGGCGGCTCAGCAAGCGAATCAGGTGGGCTTTTCACAACAGCAGCAGCAGCAACAACAACAACAACAACAACAACAACAACAACAACAACAACAACAACAACAACAACAACAACAACAACAACAACAACAACATCAACAACAACAACACTGAAATCCACGACAGTGGCACATGCAATTGCACTCTTTAAAAATCTCTATACAAGTGCACATTGTTTGCAAATATTTGCATATATGTAATGTGTACGTGTCTCAATTTACCCATTATCTTGGTATGATTGACAGGCAGCCAATATTATAGCCAATCATTTGCAGTGATAGAACGTTTTAAAACATAATTCTTGGCAACAAAGTTGCGACAAAGTTGACATTTTTGGCGTGCACGTGTGAAAAACGTGTACAAACTTGTCAAGAAATCGCCCGATCTAGTAATAATATCCAGGGGTGGGTGGTTATCTTACCTGGACGGATTATTCAATTTGGTCTGCACTGCAGATACGATACCGGGACGACAGTGCATGGCTTCGTGCTTCTTCTTGCTGAAACAATTCGAGGATGTGCTCATCTATCTCAACTCCATCAAGAGCTACTTCTACAACGACGACATGTTCAACTTCAACTATGCGCAAGCCAAGGCCTCCGTCGGAAACTACAAGGAGGCAGAAGAGGTGTGTGCCAATTTGTGAGGTGGCCATACTCTACGAGAGCCATGTCTATTTATACGTCAATCTCTTACACAATTTTGTTCCCTCTGCTTCTTATCTCTATCTCTTTTTTTCACTCTCTCTCTCTCTCTCTCTCTCTCTCTCTCTTTCTCTGTTTTTGTCTCTGTCTTTCTCTCTCTCTCTCTCTCTCTTTCTCGTTTCATGGTATTTTAACAAGCATTTTTTACACGGACTGTTGTACTGACAAACATGAATATGTGATAGGTGTGTGAGTAGTGCCTATGTTTGTGGTATATACTGTATGTGATTATATGTGAATACCTTCACTTAAGGTCATGTTCTTATTGTTGTCATTTACCACAGGTGTTTATGCTTAACCAGAGTGATAAGGTGAAGAATGACTATGTCTACATCAGCTGGCTCGCCCGCACATGTAAGCTGAGTACAGTTAAAACTCCTTAGTCGAGCATTGTGTGGTCTAGTAACTCCCGTTGTCCAACACGTTTTTCCCCGTTTATTAAGCTTTGTTTTCTAGGTACGTGAAACAGTAAAAACCTTTTCCGACAGCATTAATGATGTGTTATTTCCCATTTTAAGCTCCTTCTACCTTTTGTGACAATGCAATGTGCAGCGCATACCTTGAATGGCCATTCCTTATAGGCGGAATTACAATTTTGATAAATTAATTAACGATTTTGGAGATTAGAGTTAGATTTGATTGAAAACATCCTTGATTTGGTTTTATCACTGTTCGTTAAGTCGCAGTCCAAGCATAGTCCTAATATCAGGATATTCCAAATGAACCTCTACATGCTTACCCACACTCGCTAAAATATTTTTAAAGTTTATGAAAGTCCATAACTGTGCTACTTGGCATAGAACTGCAGGTTTGTTCTGTAAAAATTTGCATAACCTTGAAACCGTAGGCGAAACCTTGAGATTTGTGGGTTCGCTCTAGTGATCGTGTGCTCCGCAGATATCATGAATCGTAAGGCGCGGCTTGCGTGGGAGCTCTACCTGAAGATGGAGACGTCGAGTGAGTCGTTCAGTCTGCTGCAGCTCATCGCTAACGACTGCTACAAGGTGAGAGCCACGGAGACGGCGTGCACGCGTCAGCGTGTCACGTATGCGCAGTGTTAAGCTGTGTATGCTATGTATCATGGTTCGCACAGTCCTTGAAAAGTCCTTGAATTTGAGGGGAGTCCTTGAAAAGTACTTGAATTTGAGGAGAGTCCTTGAAAAGTACTAGAATTTTGTAAATGTTGATTTTGTGCTTGAAAAGTCATTGAATTTCATGAAAATGTCCTTGAATTTTTAGAAAGAATCCTTGCCTGTAATAAAAAGAAGTTTTGTACCATCAATAATGTGCAAACCTCAATAAAAATTGCGTTAAATGAGCTTAAAGAGCTATAGACACGATAGACAGTTAAATGATGATCACAAATTACAGTAAGTCAGTAAAATCAGTCAGTAAATCAAGGTATGTTGTAGAGGTGAGTGTTTAGAAAGGTTTATTAATGTGATCCAGGTAAGTTTTAGAGGTGACAGTGATTAAGAATGGGGTTATTATTAAATTAATTCAGGTATGTTTTGTTCTGTGTATAAATTCCGATAAAATGTTCGATAAAATGTCCTTGAATTTCCGATAAAATGTACTTGAATTCCCGATAAAATGTCCTTGAAAGGTCCTTGAACAAATTTTCAGTCCTGTATGAACCATGTGTATGCTCCCTTCCATCCCCCTCACGTACATACATACGCAGAGATGGGTGTATGTAAGACAGGTATACTTAACAACTGCACGTACTCCCGTTGAGTTATCCCCTACTCTCATCCCTGGCTCATCCGCCGAGTTATCCCCTACTCTTATCTCTGACTTTGCACGTGCTCTCACTCTTGACTTGTCGTTTACTCTTGCCCCTGACTTATCCCTTGCTCTCGCTTTTGACTTTTCATTTGGTTTTACCCTTGACTTATCCACTGCTCTCTCCTCTGACTTGTCATTTGCTCCCCTTGACTTATTGCCATCCCTCACACCTCGTGCCTCTTCTGTTATCACCTGTTCTTACCACCTCTCTCTCTCTTTCTCTCTGACTCTCTCTCTCTCTCTCTCTCTCTCTCTCTCTCTCTCTCTCTCTCTCTCTCTCTCTCTCTCTCTCTCTCTCTCTCTCTCTCTCTCTCTCTCTCTCTCTCTCTCTCTCTCTCTCTCTCTCTCTCTTCGCCTCTCTCTCTCTCTCTCTGCTCTCTCTCTCTCTCTCTCTCTCTCTCTCTCTCTCTCTCTCTCTCTCTTCTCTCTCTCTCTCTCTCTCTCTCTCTCTCTCTCTCTCTCTCTGCTCTCTCTCTCTCTCTCTCCTCTCTCGTATCTATCTTCTATCTATCTATCTTATCTCTCTCTCTCTCTCTCCCTTTCCTCCCTCCCTCCCTAACTCCCTCTCTAACTCCCTCCCTCCTCCTCCTCCCTTCCTCTTCCCCTCTATCCCTTTTCTCTCGCTCTCTCGTCTCTCCTCTCTCTCTCTCTCTCTCTCTCTCTCTCTTCTCTCTCTCTCTCTTCTCTCTCTCTCTCTTCTCTCTCTCTCTCTCTCTCGCTCTCTCTCTCTCCTCGGTGCTCTCTCTCTCTCTCCCTCTCGCTCTCCTCTCTCTGCTCTCTACTCTCTCTCCTCTCTCTCTCTCTCTCTTCTCTCTCTCTCTTCTCTCTCTCTCTCTGCTCTGACTCCCTTCTCTCTCTCTCTCTATCTCTCTCGCTGCTTTACTCTCTCCTCTCTCTCCCTCACACTACATTCTCTCTTTCTACCTACCTCCTTCCCTCCCTCCCTCCTTTCCTCTATCCCTCTCTCGCTCCCCCCTCTCTCCTGACTCTCTACCATTCTCTCTTGCCCTCCTCGCTCATTGCTGGCCTGCAATCGTTTCAACAGATGGGTCAGTTCTACTACGCAGCGAAGGCGTTCGACGTGCTGGAGCGACTTGATCCGAACCCGGAGTACTGGGAGGGCAAGCGTGGTGCCTGCGTTGGTCTCTTCCAGCTAATCATCGCCGGACACGAGCCAAAGTAACCGATACATTACCTGCCTACTACTATTTATTATTGTTGTCGTTGTTGTTGTCGTCGTTGTCATGGTTGTTGTTGTTATTATTGTTATTATTATCGTCATCGTCATCATTAGTAGTATTGTTAGTAATAGTGGTAATGGTGGTGATGGTGATGGCAGTGGCAGCAGTGGTGGCAGTGTTAGTGGCAGTGGCTGTGGCAGTGGCAGCGGTAGTGGTAGGTTGACCGTAGACTTGCTGGGTCGAGTGATGAAGGGTATATATACGCAGGCGTGCATCGGCTCGAACCTCTCTCACGTTTGTTTCGTTACACCGTAGGGAGACGCTGCGAGACATCATACAGATACTACGCAACACGGCCAACCCGCAGGTCGAGTTCATCATCAGAATCATGAAGAAATGGGCCAAGGAGAACCGAGTGGCAGTGTAACGTTTCTCGTCATTACATCCCAATGCTCGCAATCTACAGATAGTATCATACAGAAGTCAAAGTGAACCATGGGGAACCGAGTGGCAGTGTAATGTCTTATGCTCTCGCAGTTCCAAGCTACATGGCAGGTATGGTCATCGTGCGTCACACATCAGATTCGCAGCACAGGTTTTTCTCTGTGGGCTTGCCCTAGAGCGGCATGTGGTCGCACGTGTCGCGTAGTGTGCAGTAGATGTGTGAAAGTGGGGTTATACAGGTGCGAGCCTTTATGTAGTCCTGCCTTAATGTGAAGGTGATGGTTAACACCGTGTGGTGTGATGCTGTTATGCATGCACGACTTATGAATTCCGTCCACTTGATCCGGCCAGTGTAAAGACAATGTACAGTAATGTAGTGCGTGCACTTCTCTTGCTCTCTCTCCCTCTCCCTCTCTCTCTCTCTCTGTCTCGCTCTCTCACTCTCGCTCACTCCCCCTTTCTTTTTATTTCCCCCCTCCATTTCCCTTCACTGCCTCCCTCTCTCTCTCTCTCTCTCTCTCTCTCTTGCTCTCACCATTTCGCTCTCGCTCTCTCCCTCTTTCCGTCCGTCCCTCTCTCCTTTCCTCCCGCTTTCTCTTTGCCCCCTCTCTCTCTTTCTCTCTCTCTCTCTCCCTCTAGCTATGCATGTGCCTCCTCCCCTCCAACACGAGTTGAGTGTTGAGTTGATTTGTAAATATTGATTGATGCTTAAAATCTCGTGCGCCGTATTTTCCGCATTTTCGCGCGAGCCAGCGAGACCAAGCTGGCAAGGACGCATAGAGTGGTAGACACTGCGCGCGTAAATATTTGATGAATCATAAAGTGGTTAGGTTTGTTGACATGCGCTCGTCTCCATTGACAACCGTCACCGCTGTCTGCGTTGTGGGGGGGATCAAAGCAGAATCGAACATGAAAATTCTTTGCATTTCGATTTTTAGATCTTCAATATTTAGATTTTCTATATTTATTTTAAGCAGTTATTATTATTTATAATCATTCTCTGCGAATGAGGCTTAGTGTGCCTGCAGAGAGAGCATTTAGTAACAATGTTTGGCAGGTCCCCTGCGAGCCTTCAACCGCAGCCTCTGAATTCAGATCCACGTGGGCTACCTTCCCTTTCACCCCATTCCCAAATACCATGCGCTGTTGGTCGGTAGTAACAGCAGTAGCAGTGTTCAAACTCGCCGCATGCGTTGATTGAAGGGTTGGGTATAGAGCTTTTGTTATGTGAAAGCTTATTGCTTAGCACCGAACTGTTATGTATATTTGTGGTTTTTTTGTCGTTAGGCCCTCGCTTGCTGTGAGAGGGGTTATGAGATAGTTGTTTAGAAGTGATTCCAATAAATGGAATGTGTCATACCATCGAATCGCCCTCTACGGTGTTATTATGGCGTGCTACTAGCTGATGTGAGTGCTTTAAAAACCAAGCGTAAATGATGCTTTTGCGTGCGGCTCTGCGATTTCTAAAGAAATCCACGGCGGGCTCGGAACGTTTAGACAATTATCATACGCAGCACGAGTTCTGACATAGTAATATATTGGAAATATTTAATGTGAAAGGGGTTTTAAGCAAAAACCCTACATAGACAAATTGGTTATTATCTCAAGGCATCAACATCATTAAATCATCTTTTCTACATTATGCTCATAATTCCACAACGCGGCGGGAGTGGAGCTGTTTTGAAAATCGTACCCAATCTGAGCCGACCGCCTTAAACAGCGTCTTCACCCCTACTCAAAAAAATGTCTGCCGATAGATGGCGGCGCGCGCACGCATCCGGTGTTCCGGCGGGCGCGCTATGCGTACGTACTCGTCACGTACGTCGTTGACATCTTCGCCTCTTGGAACTCGCGACACCTGCACGTCATGATGCGGCCGAAGGCGGCGCGGAACTGTCGATTGAACATCGAATATATGAACGGGTTGACCATCGACGAGCAGTAGCCGAGCCACGTGAACGCCGAGATCATGTCAATGCTGATGTGGCGGCGGCACGGCGTGCAGACGGCCTCCATCACGTAGCTGACGAAGAACGGACACCAGAGCACCATGAAGACGGCGAAGATGATGCCGAGCGTCTGCGACGCCTTGCGCTCGTTGCGACTCTTCGAGTTGACGATGTGCATCAGCTTCGAGCTGTTGCGCACGTGTGCGCGACCGCCGCGCGTCTTCTCCTTGCGCTTCTCCTTCTTCGTCTTCCTGTCGCGCTTCGCGCCGCACGCGTTTGCCGCCGCGTGGTTGTTAGCGTGGGGCGGCTCGCCGCGCGGGTGCTGCCCTCCGGCGGCGGCGAGCAGCGGGTAGCGGGCGGCGTGCAGCGGCGGCGTCTGCTCGCGTTCGTCGTCGACGGTGCACACCGACCGCAGGTCGAACAGCTCGTCGGCGCCGGCAGCGACGGCGGCTGCGTTGTCGGCGCCGCGGCCGCCGCCGCGCTGCGGCGAGTCGGGCACGTAGAGAAACGACGTGCTCTGCTGCTCGACGGCCGTCATGCTGCGCGACGGAAGCAGCACGCGCGCGCGCACCGGTCGCCATAGCAACAGCCGCTGCACGGCGTAGTTGTCGCTGCTCGACTTCTTTAGCGGCGAGTGCGTCGGCGACGAGCCGACGTCCGACGACTCTACAGACGATGGCAGCGCTTCCTGGCGAGCGCTGAACATCGGCGTCAGCTCGAAGCGTCGGCCGCCGCGCAGCGGGCTGTCGGCGTCGGCGTCGTCGACGTCCGACGACGCGAGCGTGCTGCGCGCCAACGTCGCGCGACTGTCGTCGTCCGCCTCGGTCGCGTACGTCGCGATGCTCGCCTGCGAGCCGGCGCGACGCTTGTCGCAGCCGGTCGTCGTCGTGGCCGCCGCCGCCGCCGCCGCCGCCGCAGCAGCAGCAGCAGCAGCAGCGCGCTGCCGACTCACGTAACCCTTCGGCTTCACTCCGTTTCGGTGCTTGGCGGCGCGCGCGTTCAGCAGGTGCGTCGTCACGGCGTACGTCGCCACCATGATGACGAGCGGGATGTAGAAGCTGCCGATCGAGCTGGCGACGATGAACGTCTTGTCGCGCGGGAAGCAGACTCCGTCGTTCAGCAGCGCGCTGTCGTCCCTGCGCGACAGTATGAACAGCGGCGCTGCGATCACCACCGATATCACCCAGACGATGCAGATTTTCAGCGCCACCTGTCGAAAACGAAGAGAAGTTATGTAGATGTATCGTGGAATGTTAAACTGTGGCGTTATTAGTTAGGTTACCCGCGCCGACGCAGATCTTTAGCGCCACCTGTCGAAAATGAAGACAAGTTTATTTAGATGTATCGTGGAATGTTAAACTGTGGCGTTATTAGTTAGGTTACCCGCGCCGACGCAGATCTTCAGCGCCACCTGTCGAAAACGAAGAGAAGTTATGTAGATGTATCGTGGAATGTTAAACTGTGGCGTTATTAGTTAGGTTACCCGCGCCGACGCAGATCTTCAGCGCCACCTGTCAGAGGCGAAGAGAAGTTAGAGACGTATTATAAAGTAATCAATTTTTAAGATTGGTGAGTCACCCAGATGATGTAGATCTCACCAATGATTCGCGGCGCCACGCGTTTTGTTTCTAGCTAATTGAACAGAGCATATATTTCGTATCCAAAAAGATATACTTGCATGCAAACACACCTCACGCGACCTTATGTAAGGTCTTATGTGGCTGTTACTACTACTATATAATAGTATTATCAGGAGTGAATAAAAGCAGTGTGAATACGTACTATCATTAAAATAATAAAATTGTTTTAAAGAAACGTCAATACTTTTGTTTTTATTCATTCATCGTACTATACTATAGGTTGATTATGAAGTGGCGTATGTGTAGACTGGTTTCCTATCCTTAACATAGAATAACTAACTATCGGCCGCGTTGAATACGCAGTAAATAATGGACGGGTACTAGACTATGCGTATATCGTTCAGAGTTCTAGTTTTGCGCGAGTTTTATTTTATTCACGCGCCTGCAAATATTGCAGTATAGCTATTATCTACATGCATTATGCGCATTATCTGACATTTACGGGTTATATTATTACGCAATTGCCGATGCGATTCGTTCCTGAAATTATCTATACGGTCGGCTGAGGCGCGATCCTGTTTGGTGATTGTGTCTCTGTATGTCGCATTTCGCATTCGATACGTGTTGCCGGTTCGTTTCGCGACTAAGCTCGTTTTCGTTGAGATACGGCGTCGACGGAATGCGTTGCTCGTTTCTCCGACTATCGCGCGAGGATTCTGTCGCGACGCGTCGCTTGTCGGTAAATCTACTCGTCCACCTTATTCAGCAGAAGCTTTGTAGGCGAACGCGAGACGCTGCGTCGGTGATTAGTCGGCGAAAGTACGCGAGCCTGCCGGCGTTACAAGCAGAAATGTCGACAGCGATCGCACGTGAGCTGTGAGATGACGAGAACGTCGACATTTTGTCGAGCGCGTTTTGCGGTCTCTCTCTGTGTGACGCTATACTTCCTCGTCGTCTCTCTCCTCTTCTCTTTCCGTCACTTCTCTGTTCCCTCTCTTCCTCCCCCTTCTCTCATCCCCCTCTCTCCTCTCTCTCCCTTCTCTCTCCTCCCTCTCCCCTCTCTACCCCTCTCTCCCTCTCTCCCCCTATCTCCTCCTCTGTCCCCCTCTCTCCCTCTCTCTCTCTCTCTCTGCCTCTCCTCTCGCTCCTCCTCTCTCCCCGCTCGCTCTCTCTTCTGCGATCTGCATCGGATTCTATATCTGCAGCTCAATTTCACGGTCGTCGAGTCATCGCGGTTCGCAGCAAGATTGGCAGAAAATCATCGTCTGTCGGAGTGCTTACAGCGGCGGCGGCGGCGGCGGCGGCGGCGGCGGCAGCAGCTTCACGCGCTCGGCGGAGTGATTTGCAACTTTGATTGGCGTTGACGATCCGGGTAGTGGTGGTGGTGGGGGTGGGGGTGAGCTCGGATACGGATCCGGTGCTCCGAATCGGAATTTAACGCATAGCTGCGGCCGCGAGCGGCGGCGCGTGTTATGTGTGCGGAAAACGCGGCTATAGAGACTCCCGCGCCGGCACCTGCATGTGTATCTTAATTAACTCTCGCGGCGACGAAAACCTTGCTTGAATGCGCGCGGGGCGTCACGCAGTTGTGAAAGAAGAAGTCGCCGACTAAACAGACGAACCGCGTTTGAAAAGAGAGATGGAAACATATATCGAGCCGTATAGATGGGATGAAAGAAGAGCTCCGGCGGTATGGCGGAATAGTCTCTGAACTGGCTGAACAGAGAGACTAGACGCTTGTAGTCGGCAAAGGACAAAATACGAGTTAACAATTAACTCACAACGTCTGCAGGGCGACGTGCGCTAATTGCCAAATTAAATTCGATATTCGATTCACGATTACGACGCTTTGGCGTTCTGCGCGTCTGCGGATGCGACCTTTCCGTGTTACGTATCAGTGGCGATGCGTGAGGAGACTGATAATGGGCTTGGATTTCTCGTCATCATCGTTTTCCTTCTCGGCTCTCGGGAATATTTTTGCATCTATGTACTCTTGCGAGTATCGGATCTTGTGAGTATGAAAGCAGATATAAATGTGCAATAAGGCACATGTGCCCCTAGTTTGCATTCCCTCGTGTCTTGGCGCCAACAGGCGTGACGGAACCAGTCTGTCTGTTTGTGTGCGTGTGGGAGTGCGTGCGCGCGTGGGTTTTTATGTTTGCGTGTTTGTACGTGTGATTATCACGCACGCGTTTATTAATGCGAAAAATTGTTCCATAATTTCCATTTCCGTTTATTTTATTTTACAATTATCGCATATAAATTATCTTTCTGTTTTACGTTCGCACTTAAGCATTTCAATACAATTGATCATTGACAACATTAAACTGGCGACAAAAGCGAGAAATCGTATTTGTTGGCGGCGGTGTTTCAGTAAAAACAATGTTACAGTGCCAATGTCGGACATTATTATTGCGTAAGCTAGACGAGCACATATATGGGCGCATATTTCCTATCGTGTAACAAAACATCATAAACGAATATTCGTTTGCCACCGGTTTTCCCCACCTCTTACTAACAACCGGGTTTCAGAAACTATGATCAGATGTTTGCAATGACTTTATCTTTATGTCCATACATTCTTCAATATATATAAATATATATATATATATATATATATTGAGGTATATAGCCCAGTCGTGTATCAAGAAATGAGAGCCGTATGCAGCTAATCTGGTGGTTAACCGAGCTATGAGCTATCGATTGAGCTATCTATGAATATCGATTGAGCTATCGAGCTATCGAGCTGAATAAGCTGAACTGTACGCTCGTACCTGCGCTTTGGTTTTATTGCGTCCGTACTTCAGCGGGTACTTGAGCGAGAGGCATCGGTCGAACGACAGCGTGCACAAGTGCAGGATCGAGGCGGTGGAGAATAGCACGTCCATGCTCACCCACAGGTCGCAGATGATCGCTGGTAGCAGGAACACGCCTGTAAGAAGCAAGCGTATATACGATGCACGCACTTTCACAGACGCGGGCGCGGGGCCAGAGAAGCCCCGGGCTGGTTTTCTCAACGCATGCACGTACGCAGACATGTACGCATGAACAAACGCACGCACGCAAGAGCGCACACATGGACGAACGCACATACGCACGCACGCAGACACGTACGCAGACATGCACGCATGCCGACGCAGATCTTCAGCGCCACCTGTCAAAGGCGAAGAGAAGTTATAGACGTATTATAAAGTAATCAATTTTTAAGATTGGTGAGTCACCCAGATGATGTAGATCTCACCAATGATTCGCGGCGCCACGCGTTTGTATCTAGCTAATTTGAACAGAGCATATATTTCGTATCCAAAAAGATATACTTGCATGCAAACACACCTCACGCGACCTTATGTAAGGTCTTATGTGGCTGTTACCACTACTATATAATAGTATTATCAGGAGTGAATAAAATCAGTGTGAATACGTACTATCATTAAAATAATAAAATTGTTTTAAAGAAACGTCAATACTTTTGTTTTTATTCATTCATCGTACTATACTATAGGTTGATTATGAAGTGGCGTATGTGTAGACTGGTTTCCTATCCTTAACATAGAATAACTAACTATCGGCCGCGTTGAATACGCAGTAAATAATGGACGGGTACTAGACTATGCGTATATCGTTCAGAGTTCTAGTTTTGCGCGAGTTTTATTTTATTCACGCGCCTGCAAATATTGCAGTATAGCTATTATCTACATGCATTATGCGCATTATCTGACATCTACGGGTTATATTATTACGCAATTGCCGATGCGATTCGTTCCTGAAATTATCTATACGGTCGGCTGAGGCGCGATCCTGTTTGGTGATTGTGTCTCTGTATGTCGCATTTCGCATTCGATACGTGTTGCCGGTTCGTTTCGCGACTAAGCTCGTTTTCGTTGAGATACGGCGTCGACGGAATGCGTTGCTCGTTTTTCCGACTATCGCGCGAGGATTCTGTCGCGACGCGTCGCTTGTCGGTAAATCTACTCGTCCACCTTATTCAGCAGAAGCTTTGTAGGCGAACGCGAGACGCTGCGTCGGTGATTAGTCGGCGAAAGTACGCGAGCCTGCCGGCGTTACAAGCAGAAATGTCGACAGCGATCGCACGTGAGCTGTGAGATGACGAGAACGCCGAAATTTTGTCGAGCGCGTTTTGCGGTCTCTCTCTGTGTGACGCTATACTTCCTCGTCGTCTCTCTCCTCTTCTCTTTCCGTCACTTCTCTGTTCCCTCTCTTCCTCCCCCTTCTCTCATCCCCCTCTCT